GTCAAGTTCAATGGCAAGTGACATTCAAAGCTATATGAGAATGTTCTGGACTGAAATTGTACCATAAAATTGTCATACACTGTAAATTCTGATAAGAATAAAACTAGAATTTTTTTTTACCAGTATTAACATCCCTTCAATTTTAGCAATTTCCAAGCTTTGTCAGCCAGTACGTTGTTTGATAAAAGTTGTTAAGTAACCAATATAGAGACTCTGTAAAATTAATTCATATCAAACGGCACATCATTTAGCAACCAATAGTGTGACGACTTCAATTATTGCCAAAGATAAGATTTTGTGGTCTCTGTTGCATTCAAGGTAGAGTTGTATTCTATTAGAAGTAATGTCAATATTTTACAATGAGCTTATGGTGACCTCAATGTCAAACCAGGCATTACATGTGCTTAACAACACTTCCTGCAGCTGAACTGAACTTATTAATGTAAATTATAGGTAGTATACTTGAAACGATTCTTAACATTTCTCTTTTTTGAAGTGTGACTTCTACACTATACCTGAGAMGAAACAGGTGGCAAAAGATACAATTTGTCTTTATCAAAGGTGATACTTAATTCAATAGAGAACAAAGTCACAAGRAAAAATTGGATGGCCTGAGAAATGACCAAAAAGCAGCCCTGTACCTGAAAAAAATACACCCCCTCTTGAAAATTAATATTGGTGTGTTTCACATTTAAATGTATTTAAATAATACKTAAACATAAAGCAACTTCAGAACTGGTTTTTCTTTTCATTGACACAGTTTCAAAAAAACAATGCAGATTTAATTTCTTAAAAAAAAGAAATGGAAATAAGTTGGCAGCTACATATTGTATTGTATGTTATTAAAAAAACAAGGTTTATTTGGTAYCAAAGCAGAAGTACACAGGGATTGAAAAATCTGATCAGAGGATAATTTGTACATTGSAAAATAGAAAAGTTGCTGGTATTTGATGATCTTTCATCTTTTGACTCTAACATTGGAAACACCACCCAAAACACAGCAGATTCCTTTTACCCAATTTAAGCAACTGTTCTACATGTATTAGACACAAAAATAGTTTTATATATCTATTCAAGAAATTCTAAGTTACAGTACTCCACCTGATACCAGATATATATATACATTTATATTCAAGGAATTCCATTAGACATTTTTTATACAAGAAACATCTGCAAACAAATTATAATATTACACAGAACAGTCAGCACAGAATTATTGTTTTTAAYGAGCACAAAAAAGTTGCATAAATTAGTATGTACCACGTTTAACTTCCATAAAAAATGAGGTGTAACTGCTGATGCAGGAATATCAATAAAATCTTTCTAATCCAAGAAAGAAAACAACAATCAAAGCTGGATTTGTATTAGAAATGTCTACATGATCGCTAAACAAATATGACAGGCTTAAATTAAAATCTCAAGAATCAAAAAAATGTTAATTTGTACAAGTAAACAGAGAGTATGGTTTTGTTTTCTTAACATAAAAATGAAAGCACACATTCGAAATAATCTACTTTTTAGTTCTGTGCATTATAATTATATAAGGGCATGTAATATTTTACCAAAAGGCAAAGAAAAATGAGAAGACAATAGRAAGAAATGAGAGAATGTGAATTTTTTGCAACTTCAAAACATGTGAAATTTGGCCTTTGTGATGGGATTAAAGGAAAAAATAAAATTTCATTTGTTTTTTTTTCTTTTTCTGATATTGAGTGAAGCATTCGATGTGCTCAATAGTCATGCCATTTTGTCTTGATATTATGTATCTAAGTCAATTCTAATAGGAAATAATGAATGATGTTTTGAAAAGAATTTATAAAGAACATAAAGATTGTTTACATACGGGCGTCAATTCAGGATTAATTAGATCAAGCAACTTTCACAATATAATCATAAGTCACTCTGAAATATGAATAATTGACTAATTAACTGGGGGAAAAAAGGCTTAGAATCTAAAATTAGTATTATTCAATGCTATTATTGAAATTATTATAACAGCAAAAAACATGTTTTTTATAAATTTACCGGCTGGTCGTCCCCTTCGTCTTCAGAATCCGGATTGAGTGGTTCGGCACAAACTGTCAAAAAAATATATCAAAACTTAGATTGTTAGAACAACAACATCTAACAGAAGTTCATGACCTTTGATTTTAATAGTAAATGGTAGTTACATTTTATAAAAGCTTACAAATGAATAATTCTGTTTAGAAATGAGTAAAATAAACAAAAAAATACAGGAATTAAGACTGAGCAATCATGCCGAGGTGTAGTCTCGAAGCACTGCGGGATAACTTCACAAATTAACTTATGTTTTGTTTTGTCTTGTGTTTTCCTGCTTATAAATAAAATTTTATTCCGCCTTCAAATAATTGCAGAATCAAAGAAATATTGCTTAAAGTACTACCAATTGATTTAAGCTTTTTTCGGAGTGGCTTCATACAAGTTCGCCACATCCCTTGAAATTTACAACTACAATTCGTAAAAACAAAGTTAAACTCACCTGATTGCCTTCTCGCATATCGATTTTTCGGTGGTTCTAAAAAAAATACAAATTCAAATGTTAAATGGCGGGTAGGCTCGCTATAACGTCAAGATAGAAATAATGGAGATCTTGARACTCGCGTTGAAGATTCAAAAACATTTCAGTTGTAGTTTATCAAGTGAGAAGGAAGACTTTTAGGAGAGTTCAAGTCAAACACCATATTAACGGATAATTGAACCTTATGAGAGAAACTATTCATAATTTATGGAGAGAAGATTCAAAGTCAAGTTTGTTAGACTTTTATAGAACTTCTTCAATTGCTATGACAATCCAAACTGACGCTATGACATCTTCAAAGTTGATGAAGAACTCGTCGAAAAYATGATACCTGGCATCTCRTCATCACTTTCATCGTCCTCCATATCATCTCCGTTTTCTTCACTCTGAAAACTAACTCCTTTGCCTTTTTTACYCTTGTTGCCATCCTTGGAGCGCTTCTCTTTGAGCTTCAACTTCATGAAATAATTTGCAGCAAAGTCAACGATATCATCGGGTTTCTCGCGAAGTACATGCACTGTAAAATCCTGCAGCAAGTCCGAAAGACCCACTGGAATCTCCAAATCCATGTCAATACGTCTTTCCCAATCTCTCAGCTTAAATCCAGAGCAAAACCAACCAASTATGATCACGGATTTAAGAACAGCCTTTAAGAGTAAATATTGTTCATTTTGCAGAAAGCTTCTCTCTTTGGTCCTGTTGCGAGCAAACACATCTGTCTTGCTGCTTGGATACTCGTGACTGCGCGTGCGCACTGCTTTGGCGGTAAACGTCAAGTTCCCAAGAGTTCAACTACAAATYAACCAATCAGCGCTCGCAATTTTCAAATTCTAACCAATCAGATCACGCGCTTTAAGAAGTTCAGCGCGCACCACGAGGACGTCAAAAAGTTAACAAATTTCTTTTCGTGACCTTTTTGAAGAGACTCTATCTCAATGTTTCATGTTTTAAATCAAATATAAAAGCTATCAAAAAAAGGTAAAACAGAAATTGTATTTCAATCGTCGAGTAAATTGTGAGTAATTTTTCACATAATAGAATATATGAATCAGCTATAGAGTCTAGAGATTTTACTAAACGTATAACTGTTCAGATAAAAACGTCAAAACACTTCCGCTTAGCCATCTCTTATGCAAATGATCAGTCCAAGTATAGATAACGATAAGAGGGGACGTCTCAATCCTAAGGTTTAGACATTAAAACATATTGATGTTCAAATATATATAAATGTATCAGAATTATTATTTCCTTTAATTACAAATTCTTTGTACATTWTTAATCAATCAGCATATGACCTTTTAAGGGACTTTAAAATGAATAACGAGCAGTRAAAAATTATAATTTAAATTTATGACATTTTCTCAACTCACAGCCATTAATTTCAAGTTCGACAACTTCCAATACAAACAAAGTGCGTTCAATTTCAAAATGCTTTATCTCTCGCGATCGGTAAGCTTGCCTCTATGGAGTACTTCTCTCCTGACTCTCAGTATGGCGTCTCAGTTAGCGAATTTTCATAGCTGATATAGCCTCAAGCCTCCTGCCTTGAGCTAGTCGTGACTCCATTTAATTTCCATGACATGGTCATTTCAGTAGCACGAGAACCTTTCCCAGAGTCACGAATAAATTCTCATATCATTCTTGACAATGTGAATATTTTGTCAAGTCAAATTAAAGCAAGCCAAACCCATACTGTCTTTTTTTTTTCTTCTATTTTATTCAAATCCTGTAGCGAATTGGGAACGAACGACTCTTTTATTCATTGATATATCACATTGTTGTAGCATTTTAATACTCTTATCTTTCACAGTCACAAGCGATAACATTCTATAAGGAGTGTGATTTCGCTTAAAGTAAACAACTATTCTTGCAGCGAAAGCAGATTGTACCTAGCTTAGTTATTATTCAAACATCAAGGCGATGTTCAATTACTTAAAATTCTGAACATTTTAAACAGTGTAGGCACTAAAAAGGATTAATTTATTAGATCGTCTGCCAATCGTTAACTTTTCTCGAATTAAAACTCGGTCCTTGGCTAGTATGCGTTTCTTTAGCCTTTGTTATTTACAGGATTTTACAAACAATATGGATATTATATTGAAAGGGGATAAAACCCCTTCATTCATTTGCAAATGAAATATGTATTGAATAATAGGTGACCAGACGGCCGATAATCGAGGCAGCGTTGACAAGAAAATTTGCTTAGGTCGCGCGCAAAAATGGTAAAAAAAGCTACTAATTTTACTTTATTGATCAGTCTAAGGGGATATATTTACCATATTCGATAGAAGCCAACTATTCATTTGTTGACATCACTATAACAGCCTGAAATGGTTCTATTTAGCTCAATGGGAACAAGCATATATAATGTCATTTATAATTTGAAAATATGATTGACAAAAAAAWGAAGAAAGAAAAATATATTGCTTTTTCAAATAAAACCTTTTGTTGCTCGTGTTATTGGTGAAATAACATGTTTTCTTATCAATTAGAGAGCTCGAACTAAACGACGCTACAAATATATATAGTACTAGTGTAAGTAGAGTGGAATTCAGCAGTCGAATATTACAATTTTCCCTGTAGCAACGCAGAAAATCGAAATGATTTCGTTTATACCTGGTGAAGGTGGCTGRTCACTGACTTCAGCAGGCTCTTGAGGTGGACGATTGCTCTTTCTCCACCACCAAGTCTCCAAAAAGAACCGTTTAAACCTCTGCCAAGTAAAATTATTCGCCATGTTGTTATATTTTYTCCTGCTAGTGATATTGAGCGTAYGTTCCCCTTCAGTTGGTTGCTCGTATATAATTGTTCCAGTTGTTTAGGTYTGAGAATACATTAACTTAGTTAAAAATTAAGCTCGCAGAAACTGCTTTTGATCATAACGAAAAGCGAATGGCGATAGTTTCCCGGGCTCGTTTGTGACCAGCTGTGTATAACGTTAGCGTGCTATAATCTGAGTCAGTCGACTGGACGGCTACGTACCCTGACAGAGTATTTTTTTAGCATAATTTAGTATGATGATTGTGACTATCATATAAATATGACGCTGTGACTAATAAATAATGTCAGATTCTGCCATTTATAAAAAATACATTGCTTGAAAACTCACAACAGAATTTATGAAAATAATACAAATTTCGATTGAAAGTTAATAATTAATAAAAAATGCGCAAATTTGCAGTTTACGTTTTGCCGCGCGCAAGCAGACTCATTTTCAATACGCCACGAGATGTACCTAACGTATGGCTACGCGATGGCGCAGGCGTATTTAAACGTTAAAAAACTGTTGTGTTTTGAAGAGAAGTTTTCAATGATGTCAGTTTTGACCGCCATCTTGCAATTGCTTAGAAACTATGGGATGCCTAATGGCGCCATTTGTCGGGACATTGATAGAGATTAAGAGGATGTTTCATAATTCAATTTTACACATTACAACACCGAATGTTTTTTTAAGCAGAATAATTAATATTGCAAATAATGAAGAACTGAGTAGTTCCGTAGGTAAAACCACAGTTAATGCATACACTGGCAGCCATTCCAGTCTAAATCATATTACGGATACAGGCTCGTAGGCTGCCTCACAAATAGAGGGGTTCGTTTTTTTATAATGCGGACCTAAATGAAAAACTAAATTCAATGCACAGTATAGTGTGTAAGAACTGCCTGCTAGTATGAGCAGTTCATAACACTTTACTATCTTAAAAACAGTTCTCAACACTAAAGAATTTTAAAATAGAACAATAAAAAAGAGAAACACCGGACCTTTTAAGATTGTGTGTGTGGTCCTAACCCCCGTATATTTTGATATGTTCCCCTGACAACCTAACACTGGATGCATTGCAAGCACCAGAATCCAAAATGCCCTGATTTGTCTAAGATGAAATTATGCGTTTAAACAATRAAAAAATTATAATTTTTTCCCTTCATTTCGTTCAGCAGACTGGTACTGACTACGGGCTCGTCTTTCACGAGTTTCAGGTGAAAAACAGTCAATTACTGGAAGAGTAATAGTCCAATGTGCACACCGGTTTATGGAAGCTTTTAATTTCTTTTGTCCGCGCATGTGTATTTTATTTTGAAAAGGTAAATCAGTGGTCACATTTGAATATTATTTTCGAGGGAGACTATAGAAACATAAGATAAGGTTTTTAAACGACATAAAAAACATTTTAGCAAAGCATATTCTGGAAACAAATCGTAAGACTAAAGAGAAGTATATTTATCTCTAGAAATTGCCTAAAAAAGATGACGTTTACTCTACTTGAAGGTTAACAGATAATTTCTCTTAAAGATGAAGAAATGTTGTCATTAATCTGTAGGTTTGTCTTTGTCATCCTATTGTTTGCATTCACAAAAGAGTTTATAATTYAAATCATCGTTTAAGAGCAATTCACCTTGGCCTTAGAGCTTCATTGCAAGCATGTGCGCAATCATGCATCTGTTGTTAACAATTAAGAGTCCCTAGCTATGTTTCTTGATCCGATGGGGAATTTTCAATCCGGTCTTTGGTTTCACTAGTTTCGGATACAGAAATTATGGAACATTCATTTTCGGGTTTGCTCACACTATTCCTTCCACTGTTTCTTGATCCAACGGATGGGAAATTTTTGAAAGTTTCGATTTTTGTTTTTATTATGAATAGAGAAATTATGAAATACGTACTTATGCCATCCTTCTTAGGGTTTGATTTACACTATGACTGCGTAAGCATAAGCACAAGTCAAGAACAGAAGCAGAGACACAAACGTGTGGCGAACGACAGAAGTCAATGACATATCAATTAACATACATTAGTACTTGTTTAATTGCAAAAGTATATTAACAAAAACACCTTGCTTTTGTATTCATACCTTTTATTCCCTAAATCTGCTTTTATTTTTCATCTCATTTKTCCTTTCGTTCATTATCATATTGATTCCATATATTGACTGCTAAATGGTGCTTTCTAAAAGTATCCAGATTCGGTTGGACGAGGATCCGTTATCCCGAAGAAAGGGACGAAATAAAAAGGAACGGCAGGACGAAAAAACCGGCAAAATAAAAAAGAGGAATACTAAAATTCCTGCAGTCCCAGTGTTGACAAAATCTTTGCGCACAGCTGGAAATGAGCTAGCAATGAGTTTGCAATCTCATAAAACAGCAGGGTTGTATCGAGAATTGAAATCTTATATTGGACCTTTTCACCAATACGACCGCCATCTTGAATATCATTATGGGATGCCCAGGGGACACAAACAAGTACCGTAATTCATAGACTACAGGTCTTTTAGAAGGCTATAACATTAAATATTATATCTTATCTTAAAACGTTATGAATTGAGTAAAAATAATAACATTACCTTTAGTAGGATGAATTTAAACGGATTTCGTCGATGAATAGATATTATATTCTCAGACATGTCAGAGAAGGAAAGTAATTTTTCAACATCACCATATGGCCGATGAGACGTAAGGGATATTCCTGGCCGGGATTGTATATCAAAACCCTCTTGAACTCAAAACTTGACGAAACATCTTGTCATTTCATTGACATTTTTTTCTATACTTGGAAACTAGACAATTCCATGTACTTCAGAGAGAACGGTCGCGTGACTTATAATGCACACGTACTGTATTACTGAAAGACAACATTAACAGCAACAGATTTTTTTTAGGAAGAAGCTCAATTGAGGTAATGATCCGACCTTCCCTGATATTTGAGAGCTAAAAGGTCTCATTGATACATGACAGAGCAGCCACTAGATTGAATTAAACGTTGTTCCTTGTCGGTCTTTCACAAAGGCTGGAGAGAACTGGAAGTATCGCACAGAATTACAGTCAACTCCATCGTAAGCGACCACCTCGGGATCAGGAAAAAGTGGTCGCTTACGAGAACATTACCACAGGAAACCCAAACAA